CTCGGCTGGAGCTTAAGAAATCACAGTCTGGAAAGGAGAATGACGTAAGAGCACTGAAATTTGACATACGCAAAGTGGAGGCTGATTGGCTCAAAGAAGGTGGGCAAGAGGGTGATTGGACTAGAGGAATGATGTCAGCACTGAGTTTGACAGCGTGGCAAACAGGAAGTGATATAAAGCATAAGGTTCATGTAAAAAAAATCACAAAAGTCCAGAACCGGTAAAATTTTAGCCAATGACAGCATTTATAGCCCACATTCATTTATTATACCTATCACAGTATAGGCCCTTGAAATACACATGCACCACAGGTCACACTGTGAGATGTACAATACAGACAATCAATAAGAACTGAAAATTCAAACTGATCTCTCTTCACAAACTCATCTGAAGTTTAAAACAACCCCTGTTTGGGTGCTGCGGGTGTAGCAGATGCAGCACACTGGGCTGAATGCACTCCTTAATGAATGAATTTCAATGACTAGCTACAGCCCACAGTGACGCTTTGCAACAGAAAGGGGCACCCCCTGCTGTAAGGAGTCAGCGCCTCAATTAGCGACCCAGAGGTTTCCTTCTTTACTGTCCAGTTGATGTGGGACCTTATTGCTCCACATTTCAGAGATGGATTAGGTTAATGGACCCCGCATTGACCCGCCTTCCCTCTGAGGGGTGCAGAGATTACACAGCTGCTCCTTTTTTGGGACCCTTACATATAGATGGCTCCGCTTGCACTTTCTCTCAATTAAAGCTATATTGTTTTACAATAAAGAGTCCCCCGAGAAACCAAATTTGCTAGTTTTCAGCCAAAGGTCATTAAATACTATAATACCTGGCGTAATCATGGCTGCATGAATATTGGGTTCATAATCTCTTGATATTGATTATCCTTCACTGTAACACTTCTGTCAGGCAGATGACTTTGCATGCAGTTTATTTTTGCTTGGATATTTTTATATCTTTATATTACTTTAAGTTGTTGAGGTTAAGAATTAACATGATGATAAATGGAGCATTTGGAGGTTTTGATTTTTTTTTTCCATCAGTGTCCCTTTAAGGCCACGCCCTCTGCACAGTCAGCAAATTGTTTGCCACAGCCACAGGTTTCTCTGTAATATCAGAACAGGAAGTCCAATTTAGACAAGCAATGGTAGACAGCACGAAACTCTTAAAACAGTCTGTAAAAAATATAATGTAAACCAGGGGTAAGAGGTGTGGATGAGTAGTAGTAGTAATCTGAATGTGCCACAGGAAAAGAAGAAGAAGAAGAAGAAGTTGTTAGCCTGTCAAAATACTTTGCTTTCTTGTGTGCTAAGTTCAAATGATTCATTGGTGCTTTTACCCTAAAGCTACAGGTGCAGGTTTTTAGCATCTTTCATGCAGTCCTTAAAAAAGCCAAATGTGTGAAAGAATACATTGTGCTGGGTTTGTCTTCCTGCTCTCTGGGTAAGGTGTAGCTGACCAGAAGCAGGAGGACAGTGCTGGACCAAAGCTACAGGAGTCTGGTAAGATTTGCTAATGATTGTTGCCTCGACTGCCACATGGGAAGCAGGTAATGTTTAAGTTCAGCAAGTATTTATTTGTTCAGCCCCTCAGCCAAAACCAGCAACCGGTGGACTGCAGTAATGGGATATTTAACTTGATGGATTTGAGAGTAAGCTTGGCTGTACCTGAAGTGAAAGAGCTGATTTATTTAGTTTGTTCAAACGACAGGAGAGAGCGTGTGTGTGTGCTTGTGTGTGGGGGTGGGGTCCTAAGCACCCCCTCTTATTAGGTGGTTATTTGCTGCCTTCATGTTCTTACTGTCCAATTCTGTTACTAGCACTAAGATGCTGACAGCCTTATGCCTCCAGCCTGATTTATCCTGATATATTGACCCTTTCTTGTGTCTGATCTTTAAAATATAATCTACCTAGTGGAGAAAGTCTTCCTGACATTCTTTTGGGACACACCTTTACAAATCACCATTAAAAACAGGGCCAACGGGTCCATGTTCTCTTTCATTTTACGAATTCGTATGTGCTATCTAAATGCTAATGAGCTAATTGATATTTGAAGGCATGAATAACGTCCCCCTCCCCAAAAAAGCCAGAAACTACAGTCTGCTGTCATCAAGATGTAAAGCCTGGAAACATTGTTGAGAGGATCGATTTGGAAGGGGTCTTTTTAAAAAAAAAAAAAAAAAAGAAGCTTAAAATGTTGGAGGGGGGGCATCAAAACAAGTCTTTCAAATGTTGTTTCCAGGATTTACACACTGATGACATTGAAGTTATGCTAATTATAAGTAGCCTCAGCCAGAAAACTGGAGCTACATCAAACTAAGCGATTTCCAGTGCTGCACACCAACGTTACATCCCAGGAAATGTTGTTTTCCAAAACAAAAAAAATGTATGTTCAGTAGCCCAGTGCTTGTTTAAGCATCATTAAAGGTGCTTTGTTGTTGTAGGTCCACATAAAGGAAAACTGACATTGTTCTGTGCTTGCAGGAAATGAAGCCTGGCGCGCACCGGCGGACGTCATTCACATCCTGACTGCTTACAGCTGTTTCTAATATGGAGTAATCTGCTCTCTAAAATATTTATTTGTTTCCTTTCTTTCAGTTCAGAGCCGTCACTGAAGCTGTCAGACCACCGGCGGATATCTCCCAATCTATTTTCCAGCTGTGAGGATTTCTTCCTGGAGCTGTACGCCAAAAGGCAAATTCATTTGCTCTTCTCACTGACACTCTGAGATTTTCTATGATCGGCATCACTCGGGTCCCTCATCCATTTTTTTTTTCTTTACAGTCCAGCCATGTTTTGTTTTTTTGGGCTACACATGTTTCCCAATTTGTGAATTCACCCTGAGAACAGATCATACATTCGACACATAGAAGCAGCAACATGCTGAAATTTGAGCGACCCGACTTCAATTTTTAATTCGTGAAATCCTTTTTATGTGGTTGATTCCCTGGTATGATGCCAAAAATGAAGATGCTGGAAAATGTTCACTAAGCCTCATGACTTTTTTTTTTTTTTTTAAAGAAAATGTAAAAGCACTTGTGTGGTTGAAGGCTTGCTTGTTTATTTTTTTTTTATTTTTATAGATTTGAAGACATTAGAAGTGAATCCAGTTTGTTACAGTGGGTCCTCAGTCACAACTGGGGCTGGAGTGGTTGATGCAAAGTTCTCATGTTATTTCCTGTGTCTAACAACAAATAATACAAATTTGGAGAGATGCTATATTCTGAAGGCTGCCTCTTTTTTTTCATAGGAGTTTGTGCATCCCTCTTTATTTGTTTTTGAGGTGAGGACAGTGATGTAGGTACCATCAATTATGATCAAATGTCTGTTGTCACAGCTGATGACACACACATGACTAACACTAACATGTGTTTGAGTTTTTTACATCCTATTAAGAGACTACACTAAGCTCCATTTATTATCTGGCATCTACTGGACATACACATAAAGCAAAATGCCCTGGTATGCATGTACATCTGTGTGTCAGGTCCTCTTGTGTTTTGCTAGGAGTTACATTATATACTGTGCCTGTTTGAAACTGTCTGACCGCCTAAAAGCACCGATCTCCCCTCTGATTGCATTTACGTTAGCCTAACTGTTGCTCCACCCTCTGAAAGTCGACAAAGAAGGTATGAGATAACTCCTGCTGTACATCCAGTGCACATCCAGTAAGGTAAAAATTACGGTAATATCAGTATGTCTTTAAAATAAAATAAAATATGAAAAAGTGCCGGGGGAGCCCCAATTAACGCCCACATCTGTTTCTAACCTGTAGGTCGAGGGTTGAGGGCTGACCGTTGACTGGAGAGCTCCGAGTCAGACGGCATATAGGCTGCCTTTACAGTCACTGTGTTAGAGCAGTGCGCTGTCCGCGGTGCTGAAACCTGCTGATGAACGCGGGGATTCGCTTTCAGCACCAGTGCAAACGGGGAAATGGCGCAGACAGTAGCAGGATGAGAACGAGTGCGGCTGGCCTGCTAGAGAGTGGAGGGGAAAGGCGTTTCGGAGTAGTTTTATTGTGTCTGCGAGGGCTGGAGTGGAATAAAGAAAAGAGAGAGAAAAAAAACGAGCCGTTTGCAACACGTGAAAGCAGCACACGTCTCTTACATGACTTCAGTAAGGTCGCTGATTCTTAGATGATGGTGACAGTGTGGTGATCTGCTGTTAAACAAATTTCTCAGGTTTCTTTCTTTGCTTTTTGTTCTTCCTTTTTTTTTTTTTGTTAAGGGGGGGCAAAAGAGCGGACTATGCTACTCTCGAGTCGTGGTGTTATTCCCGCCCGCTCCACAGACCCATACCACGGCAAAAAGGCGATGTTTGACTTCAAATGCCATATTTAGGAAAAATGCTCTGTCGCTTTGAGTGACTGGGGCGAGGACGAATGGCGTCTTGTGATCTGGGAAGAGACGCTCGAGCTCAGTGAGGAACGCCTCGGAGCCAATAGCATTGGAGGGCTTGTGCACGCATAAGCGGTGGATGGAGCTTCTCCGGGTATACTTCCGCGTCCAATGCATGTTCATGTGTAGGTTGAATGGATGAAACGGGGAGTGCGGAGAGGTATAGGCATGCTGTGATACGGCCCTATATATTTGCCGGCAGGACTATCTTCCTTTTAAAGAGAACCTCCTCCGTGCATTGGCTTCCACTCAGTGATGTCGCGTATTTGTGTGGCGCACCTGTAAAGAGCGAGACAGGCAGAAGCCGGCTTTTTTAATTATTTGATTCCTTTTCTTTCTTCTGTTATCTTTTTTTCCCTTTTGTTTCATGCATTTGCTGAAAGGAACTCATTTCTGTGTTTTGATTTAATAAATATTTCATTTCCCTCATTTTATCTTGTTTGTGTTGGCTTTTTATGTTCCCAAGTTTGAACTAAAGAGAGCGGAATTCGTCATTTTACACGCTATTGGCCAGGTGTTTTCATTCAGAGATTGTTTGCCTAAGGACGTCCCTAACTTTCATTTGTAGAAACGGTAAGATATTTTTTACACATTTGCTCATTCACCTGAAACATGTGAAATCGATTTCTTCTTCTTTTTATTATTATTACTAAGCCTGTTTCTGTTCGCTGAGGACAGTGTGTAGAGCAGATCATGCATTCACTGTAGTCTCAGGCTGTCTTATTGCATGCAGACACGATGGGGAAAGTCGCCGTGATGCATTCATGTTTCCCCACTCAGGGCTGATTTTCAACTCTTGAATCGCGGTGGCTTGGCATATAGGAGAGACTTACAACAGGCTTTCTCCGCACATGTGCTCAATTTTTTTCTCTCCTTCCCCCCCCCACCCCTCGACATGCATGGACGCACTATTGCTCTAGTGTGCAGAAATACAGGCCTTGTAGAGAGCTGAAACGTGGGATCCGCATAGTAGTCGTTACACTGTATCCAAAGGTAGAAATGTGGGGTGTATTAGACTGATGTCACATATAGAAATTAATATTACTGGATACATGATGGAGCCAGTGAACAAACTAACAAAATTTAAGCTGTTTGATCTTAGACTTGAGCTCTTTCATTAATATAAAAACTTGCGATTTTATTTAAGCTCTAAATTATAAAAGAGAAAAAAGCGGGTCCAATACAAATGAGATTTAAAATTAATGAGTGGTGGCTTTATTGTTTTTCTGTCTTTCTAATTTAATCGTAAGATGGTCTGTAAGGTTTAAGATGCAACGTAACTGCAAAAAGACCAATGCTATATAGGTTAAGTGCAGCCGGCTGTTGTGCTACTTAGAGTTGCCGGATGAAGTTCTGCTATCACATGCATATTCCTATGCTATTTTTGAATTTCCATGCAGCGCTTATTTGTGAAGAATACAGGAGCTTAGCTACTCGTCCCATTTTTTTTTTAGAAAAAACAAACACAAAAACCCAAAGCGATCCTAACCTTTGTCAGCATTCCTGTCTTTTGCCCTTTTTTGTCTTTAAATATAGGCCACCTATATATTAATTCCATGCCCATATGTTTGCTCTGCATGGATAACAATGGAGATGCTGAAAACCTAAAATATATATAAAATGTTTATGTTCACGTCATGCTGGAAAAGGCTATCTGTTAAAATTAGCTGATTACCCTACAAAGAACCCTAGTGGCACAATGTTGTTTTTGTTTATTTGGTTTTATTTTATTTTGGAGCTGTCGCTATTTCTTAGTTGTAATTCTCCTCTGTGCTGAGCGCTGTTTAAAGCAGCAGCCTACACCTGCAGCAAATCAATTAATCGTCTATTTCCGGTATAGAGAGGGTGGGTCTGCGCTGATTGGCCAAAAGTCTGATTAGTTTATTTAGGGTGGCTGGGTTCCCGCCACCGCTCCTTATTCTGCTGCGCAAAGACTGTGACCAGGTTTGATGTCTGCAGGTTGTACCGCAATAAATTCCCGCGACGCCGATTCAACACATCAAGGTAAGACAAGTCAAAGTGTTAGCGTGCTTAAAAACAAAGAAATACTAACTGTAAAAAGGGGTCAGAGCTGTTAGCTAGGCCAGACATGCTAGCTGAGCGCCATTAGAAGTAGTTTTGACTTGAGTAAACTTTGCCTCTTGTAACCTAACCTTAAAGCTTCTTAAGTTAGTGGGGTAACCTAATTAGTTTGGTCTACAAAATAAAATTGTGTGACCAAAAAAAAGACGCTCTAAAGCCCCTCCATCACTGGCAGAGGTTGTTAGCTAAACCCGCTCGGCTAAACCACAATTAGCAGAAAATGGAAGTTTCACCCGGATTAAACGCTCCACCTCTAACCGCTTTCTTTCGTAGCGTAATCTGTAAGTAGTCACGGTCTTTAATTGGATGAGCTGGGTTTCAGCACCGCCACAGGTGTCACAAATTAACCTAACATCACTGGGTTGCGTTCACTTGTTCCCGGTGAGATGGCTTCACTTCACTGTAGAAATGCTTTACTAACAGGAATTTAAGTTCAGTTGGTTTTAACAGTGGCCTTTGCCTATAAACACACAAAGCCTAAAAACGTAACCCCCGTCACCCATTGTTTTTGGGATTTTTTTTTTCCGTATCTAAGTGACTTATAATAATATAATTTTTTTTTTTTTTTTTACACAGGCACATTGCTAGCTGTAAGGAGTCCTATGTATTTTCAGAGTGATTTAATTATTGCCTGATCTCATTGCTAGTAAACCTTGGATTATTTTTGGGTGATACGCCGGTCAAAGTAAAGAGCCTGGTAATTTTGTCTTTGTAAGCTTGACCTGTTAAGACTTGGAATTGCGGCAGTAAACAAATGCGTTTTCACTCTACTTTGTACTTTGTGTGGCCTTGAATATTGATTGAGTGAATCTGTCGAAGCCACAGGCGTCGTGGTGAGTAACCTTCAGCTGTGAGGTCACGAAAAGATTACATATCATGGAGTCAGCAGCTAAGAGCCTGACCGGGTAATTTACCATAAATGCAGGACATCTGTGGCTAGGGGAATAGTCAAAAGGAAAGTGACATCTTGAAGCTTTCAGTTTTTGTTTTTTTTTTGTTTTCCTTTTTTAAATTTTTTATTTTATTTTATAAAAAGGAGGTCCTTAGTGATTATTAAACCTTAAATGCGATTAACAGATGAAAAATCAGTTGTCTATGCTGCTTTTTGTCTGGGCATCCGAATAAATGCAGTACTACAAAATAATGAAACGCTGTGGGGGGGAATTCATAATTTCTCTAACAGAAATGCTTCTCCCCAATCATGCTGCGTTTTATTTTGTTCTTAGTTGTACTGGCTGTAAGAACACTGTTCGCTGCACAGTGATTGCACTTAATTTTTCTGATATCAGTGGTGTTGAACACCGCTCAGGGGATATTAATTCAGATGAAGTGTCACGGCAGATCTAATCATAGGTATGTAAAAGATAGCTGCTGCTTTTAGGCATTTTTCCCCTTCCTCTCTGTTCGTGCAACGTCCACAGCTTCAGCAGCCTTCCTGAGGACAAGAGATAAGAGCGGTTGTCTTTATGTATTATTGAGCCCCCACGTCTGCCTTTCTAAATAAAGGCTGCTGACAGAGTGACTAAAATGCAGGACAGTGAGTGAACTTCCAAAGGCCACATATCACTGTGCTCTGCACGGCGATGTGTGCTGCTGTCAGAACTGGGTTAGTATACAGCGTGTAGCTTTGAGGAGAAAAGCAATTTTGCCCTCTTTGTCCTCCTTAAATGTCCGTCCCATCCCCCTTCCATGACTTCGTTGCCTAACGCCCCCCATTACAAACCCCCTTGCTGCTGAGACAGGCTAAGGCTCTGTGGCTTTTGCACTTACTGTGTGTTGGCCACAGGGTGGCCCTCCCCAGTATGTGCAGGTCATTACTGGAGATCAGCAATGCATTGTCCTTGAACCCTGTTACTGCTTTGTCAGGCCTGGATACAGTAGGTGGGGTTTTTGTGTGTGTTGAGTGCTTTATGTAATTTAACTGTATTGTCTGCAGGCCTGTTTCTGGTGGTGGAAATATGCCTGGTTTTGTGTTAGACGTGTGATTTGGATATTGGTGAACTGGATTCATGAAGGATTTTTTTGTTCTATTAAAGTGTTTTTTTACTCTTAGTGGTTTTAAGTACCGACTTGGATTTCAGCAGTCTCACTAGTGTGTGTGGTTTTTCTTTAATTTACAAGTATCATGGTGGATTATTCTTGGAGCACAGGAACAGTTTTTCTTAATAATGACTTGCACACTTTAAAATATAATGGCAGATAGTCCTATTATAGTACTGTATATTTTGTTACAGGAGGTTAGACTAATTCCACTCGTTCAACAATTATAAAATTGTCAAACTAAATTAAAGAGTCAAATGGTAATCTGTACCTTGTATAAATGTTTTATTGTACTGCTTTTATTGTACGGCTGCACGTCAGCTATCATTTTTTTTCTAATTTCATACCTAAAGATAGTAATAACAGACTGGCAAATATGAAGAATCATAAGCATCGACATATTGATGTTTGTACTCTAGCTCTCCAGCAGCACAGAGCATGAAATATAAAAATGCCTCTGGTTAGGATTTCTGAATAAGTCAATACTGATGAACATGTGTTGCAGTCTTTTGAGCAATATGAACCCAACTGAATTTTATTTCAGCCAAATTCTGCATTTTTCAAATAACGTTTTCTTCTGAGATTGCAGGATTATTGACTTTTTCCAAAAGTGTTGGTGAGAAATTGTGCGCTTGTAATCTTGGAGGCACACTGCCAATTATAACTCAGTTGCGTCACATTTCAGTATTACTGTGACATGCTCTGGCTGGCATGGGGGAAATGCTGCATAAATACCCTTTTCTCAACCTTAGGACAGTCATTACAGAAGTAATAAAAGTTCACCTATAAAGATGCTTCCCCTCCTTATCCTTAAGTTAAACTGCATTGAAAGCTGGTTTGCCAGTAAGAACACACACAGCAAAGACACAATGCAGCACTGCAGTTTTTTGAGATGTGGACTACGGAGCAGGACAAGAGGCAGGAGTGATCATGGTGGGCTGTGAGGTGACAGTGTTAATTTATCAGCAAAATTGATTGGATTTCAAGGAAATGAGTAGACCAGGGGCAATATGTCCAAGTAGTAAAATGCATGTATGTGCTTAATTTGGTAGGTGATGTTTTTGGCTATATTCTTTTTGTCAAGGACCATACAGCCTCTGAGTAACAAACCACATGAATAATGCTGCGCATGTGCAAACAGCTGCTTCACCTAACCCAAAACACACAGAGGTGTGTCTCTGGAGGGAGAGCTGGGACTTAGAAGTCGCTGCATGTTTTATTTATTTATTTATTTTTTAAATATAGATGTATGCTGTTGATTATAAGGGAGAAAGTTGCTAGGTTGGCATTGGTGAGGTGAACTGAGACGTGAGGATTACTGCTGCGAGTGAGAGGGATGTCAAACACCCAAGCTGAGATGCAGCGTACAGTATTCCCACATAAGAAAACAAATTACTTGATTTTTATTTTTTTCCAGTTCATCTAATACCTAACCAATAAATAAAAATAGTTGAATAAAACATCTACATTTTCTCATCCAGGTACAAGTAGACTAACCTTTTCCTTTTCTCCAGCATTTTCTTTTATAGCCTTATCCTTTGTACTTCTGGTGTGTGGGTAGACTAGTCTCATCTATGTTTTCAGCTGTGATATTTTGAACCGTTACTTGTGTGCTTTTAGTTTTCAAGGACAGGTTGTGCATGTCAGTGTGTGCACTCTGGAGTTCTTTACTCTGCAGCTTGTCACGCATACTTGGTCAATTTAATCCTCTGTGGAGTTGGTAGCAGAGATTCGTGCCTCCTCATTTTAAGTGCTCAGTGTCACATCAGTACATGCCGATCTAAATGTTGGCTTCATGTTCAAGTTGAAGAAAATCTATGGTCAGCCAGATCTATACTAAACTGCCTCTTGTCAAAATCACGAGGGTTTATTCGGCTTGTTTTTCCCCGATGAATGTTTTCTCATAGCAGTCTTATTGTATTTCATGTAGTATTTAATGACTGAGATTAAAACTTTGCTAATTTTAGGAAGTTTAATTAGTTAAGAGGTTTAATTAAAGAAAAAACACTGGTAAATGTTAAGATTCTTGTTTATGCAGTGAACAAAATGTAGTATGTTCAGTAGTGGCCATTTAAAGTGTAGGTCCTCTCAAAAGCCTGGATATCTTCAAGTTTCCGTTATGACTTTGTGTGTGATTAATTTAAATTTAGAACTGAAAGCTGTGGTGTTCTTCAGTAGTCTGTCAAGAAAAATCCTACCAAAAATATCAAAATGTAGAGCAGGGCGATATGACCAAAAATATTTATCACGATATACATTTGAAAATTTGCGATGACGATATAACTGATGATATAATTGACACGAGACAAAATACTAGCGGTGTGGGTTCGTAGCTTAGCAAAGTCGCACTGAAACATTTAACAGATTTTCGAGCGCCGTGTACGACATAAAATCGTTTCGAGGTCAGTAAACACAACCAAAATTCAAACATAAGGCACACGGGATTATAAGGGGCACTGTCGATTTTCAGAAAAATCAAAGGATTGATTTTAAGTGTGCCGTATTTTCCAAACAACACGGTAATAACGACGGCCCGCTAGCATGTGCTACCAAAAATAGTGCTTTGTTGTGTATCTGACGGATGAAAGCTAAACCAGTTCCACAACACTGAAGTTGCAGCATTTATACAAACCGATTCTGGTTCATCCGTTTCATTCAATGATCCACTTTTGCTCTTCTCATTCTGCGTCGCCGCCATGTGCGTATGTAAACAAAGGCACTGCGCATGCGCGTTTTACCCATATTCTATCGCGATATTTCATTTTACTATCGTTGCCCAACATTACACCGGTATTATCGTGAACGGTATGATATAGCCCAGCCCTATCAAAATGGTCTTCTTGTAAGGAACAATCTGTTGAATAAAAATTTGGAAAATGGAG